CCCCCCCCCCCCCGTACACGTATGGGTTTGTGAAACAGAGACACTCTCAAACAGTGGGTGACAGGAAACACACTGTTGACAAAGCAATGCCCCGCCACACACCACTGCCTACAATGGGTCCAAATGTCCCGAGAACAACCACTTCCTTTGTTCACTTTCTGTCTTCTGGTAACAATCACACCGCAAAAGGTATCACTAGAGTGACTAAAATTGCACTAAAAGTAAAAGCGTAACACTCGCGAACACAAAGGTAGAATCCCGACCACGTTATATTCTATGACCGAAAACATTCTGGAGGCCTGCTATTTTAAGTAACTCCATCTGTCCTACAGCTTGTAGAGACCTTAAACCATTATTTAAAAAGGCTAAGAACTTGCCTGTACAAACAGACGAGCAGTTAAAGAGAGGGTGTTGCTCCCACAAGCGGCAGTCTCTGCTGTTAACGAACGGTGTGCGCGCTAATTGGTGCCTGTTACTTGCTGACCCTTGGTTCTCCAGGCTTTGTTCCAGAAACGAACGTTCTGGCTGCTTCGGTTGAAGAGGCTGCATATCCGCCGAGCATCCGACCAAGTACCAGCGCCCTTCCTCAGACGCTGAGCAAGCCTCCGCCTCTTCTTCCGACGCCTGGCCGGAGTCCGGTCGCGGTGGGACAGGCTGCGGGACCCTCTGCCAAGCCAGCGTTGTTGGGTGAAAGACCGTTGGGGGCTCTGCTTCCAACACCAGGTTGGTCAAAGAGTGAACGATGTTGGGGCTGCCGTTCTCAAAATCCCTCCACCAGCATGTAAGTCCAGTTTCTCTTTTCCCACCAGCACTTTGTGGAACTCAAAAGAGAGCTTTCTTGGTAGGAGGAACTTCGTTCTTTGATTCGTTCTGCCAGCTGGCCAAGTTGTTCTGATTCAGACACAGCCTGGCCCCTCAAGTGGACGGAGTCAGTTTGTTGAGATAGATTTGACATGGTGTGTGTTGGTGTTTGTTTGTTTTTTTTTTTTAAAGCTGATTTGTTTTAAAGTTTTATTATTATAACTTTCTTGTTTTTAATATGGTGGGACTCTTTAAGCACTGTATGTAGTGGCAAATGGGATGCAAGTTTAAATAAAGGAAGAATAATAAAAAGTCCCAGAACTTGTAAGGACAACCAGCTGACAACCAGTTGCTAGATCCAGCTAAACATAGGCCCATGGAATCAATCACTGAATGGTAACACAGCACTTAAAGTGTAATTCCTTCTCTTTTCCAAAGGGTCTGCTTTCATTTAGACTAGCCGCTGAATTCAGTTCCCTAAAGTATCACTTTTGGTTTGTTTGTTTCCTCCCCCCCCCCAACAGCAGTGGCTGGTCCAAAGGGGAAACCCCCACCTCTTCTGATAAAATCTACTAAGAGACCCATCCACCTGCCGCCTCCGTCTCCACACCTGCCTGCGAAGCGGCCCTTGCTTGGTGTCCGGCCTGGCCTCCTGCCAACCCCAGGTGAGAAGGGAGGTGGCTGGCTGTGCAGGGTGTGTTTGTGTGTGTGCGTGTGTGCAGGACATGGGGGGAGGGAGGAGGTTTCCCTTCTCTTCTGGTGGCCATCTTCTTAGTCCATACAAATCATGGATGTTGTGCAATGTATTTCAGATGCTTCTTAGTAATGTTGAACTGAGGCAGTTCAAGTAGCATATGACAGAGTGGGCTTTACAGCCCTGTGGATGTGAGCCAGAGTTGTATGCGATCTTGTGTTGGTAGGCTTCATGGGCGCCAAGAGCTTGGAATGACATCCAATCAGTGACAAAGTTCAGAAGTTTGGGGGAAATTGCTGCTCTTAGATCATCTTCCTTCCCCCTCCAATCTAAAATTGATCTCGGAAAGAAATACAGTATGTGAGCCTCCCACTGTAGACTTGCAATTCATCACTGAGTCATGGCTGTTTGTGTTTGTACTTCCTTTTCCTTTTCTTGGTCAGTCTGAGAGCAGAGGAAAGCAGCTTGATCTCTTAGCATCTTTCAAGTACTGGCGAGGCAGTGCAAAGGCTAGAGGAAAAGCAAGCGTCTGCAGAAAATGGGAGAATTGGCCTATTTTGACTGCAGTTTTCCTATTTGTACTAATAAGTTCTGAGGTTAAAGTAATAAGTGATACTTCAGGGAGTAAATGGTTTGTTCCCTGTACTCTTTGGTCCACTCCAAAAACTGGTGGATCAGAGCAGAGTCAGATTGCGCCAAGCCAGGAAATTGGAACCAAAGGATGATATCATAATCTATGTGATCCGTATTTAGGAGCAATGTGAACTTTTGCAGGTGGTGGTTCTTTACAACTTAGTCCCCATCCTCCCACATGTTGCCTTATTTTCTCAGGCCAAAATACAAATGGGGAGGATGAGGAACCTAGGAGCAGCAAAATCTTTGTCCTGGTCGCCTATGGTTCCAGCAGTCTTTGTTGACTGGGTTTGAAATCTTGGCACGCTCGTAGACCGCATCTAGTAAACCATCCTGTTCCGAGAGCAGCCATCATGCTTTCCTTTCTTGTGGTTTCTTTTGCAGTTGCTCAAGCACGATCAGCACAGCATCATTGGGTGCCCAAGCCGAAGTTCCTGGTTTGATGGGGCACCCAGACTTAACAACAGAATAAACTATATTCCCCGATGGCAACTTCCCTCTTCTTTCCTGGCGGCACAACTTGGCACACGTATGCTGTTAGTATGGCCGGACAAGCTTAACCACGCATCGCCTCTTTGTTGTACACATTCCTGAGAACTTGCTTTCTTTTCTTTCTTTCTTTTTTTTTTAACTTCAGTGGATGACTGAAAATAGGTGCTTGTGGAAATATCCTGTTTTAGGTCCCAGTATTAATATGTTTTAAATAAGGATAGCCCCCAAATAAAGGATTTATTTGCAGAATTTGTCATGTGGTTTTATCATGGTCTCACTAAGATAACTATTTCGTATCTCTCTCTCTCTTGGGAAACAAGGAAACATGGGCAGCGTTCTCTCCCTGATGGGGACAACTTTCCCATTAAGACACAGATTTTTCATGGAAATGCCTTGCTCACCTCATGCCTGATCGTTTTGAGCCGACTGTAGCGAGAAGCACCCAGTATTCACACCATGGAGTTCCTAGCTTCTTTGGTCAGGGGAAAAATAGAAGTTAGTTTCTGATAAGAAGTTCATAGTCGGCTATAACAATAACGGCCAAAATCCTGTTGCTTAGTATAGTAAATGGCAGCTAAAGTCAGCCCATGAACCCGATAGAAATTGTGACAGAGTTCACTCACCACCACCACTGAATTAGTGGCACCGTGTCCTATGCTAAGCAACAACATTTCAGCCAGAGTGTGCTTGACAGTTTATGTTGTAAATCCAAGATTGTTTGAGATCAGAGCTGTTCTCCTGCACCTGTAATCTTTATTAATAATGGCTAGTTCTCAGTTTTTGAGACGCTCCTTTCCTTTCCTTTCCCCGCCCCCCCCCACTTCACTGTTTATGTACTTTGGTATTGTAGTGCACTATAAAAGGCTTCCCAATCCTTACATGTCTCTTGAGTCCTATAAATTAAAATGCCACATGAACTCCTGTCATTCAAGAGTGAAGCAGAACAAAATCTTGGCTTAAAATGTACGTGTTGTTCACTTCACTGTTTATGTACTTTGGTATTGTAGTGCACTATAAAAGGCTTCCCAATCCTTACATGTCTCTTGAGTCCTATAAATTAAAATGCCACATGAAGTCCTGTCATTCAAGAGTGAAGCAGAACAAAATCTTGGCTTAAGATGTACGTGTTGTTGTTTAGTCATTAAGTCATGTCCGACTCTTCGTGACCCCATGGACCAGAGCACGCCAGGCCCTCCTGTCTTCCACTGCCTCCCGGAGTTGGGTCAAATTCATGATGGTAGCTTCGATGACACTGTCCAACCATGTCATCCTCTGTTGTCCCCTTCTCCTCTTGCCTTTACACTTTCCCAACATCACGGTCTTTTTCAAGGAGTCTTCTCATGAGATGGCCAAAGTAATGGAGCCTCAGCTTCAGGATCTGTCATTCCAGTGAGCACTCAAGATTGATTTCCTTCAGAACGGATAGATTTCTTCTCCTTGCAGTCCAGGTGACTCTCAAGAGCCTCCTCCAGCACCACAATTCAAAAGCATCAATTCTTCAGCGGTCAGCCTTCTTTATGGTCCAGCTCTCACTTCCATACATCATTACTGGCAAAACCATAGCTTTGACTATGCGGACCTTTGTCGGCAAGCT